GCATTAAAGCCAACATTGTAAGACTGGCCATCAGAGGTGTGGAGGGGAGGTTCTGCTTGAGCAGAGTTGTCTCTAGAAGACCCCCAAGGTCATTTCCAATCGAGAGTCTAGGCTCTATTTGTGGGGCAGCCTGGACGGGAGGGGTGGTCTGGGGGAGAATGGATACCCGTGTACGTATGGCTGAGTCCCTCCACTGCTCATCTGAAGCTCACCACGCTGTTAATAGGCTAAATCCCAGGACAAAATTAGAAGTTTTCAAAAGGGGTCTAGGATTTAGAGTGGAGAAGGAAATGGCAACTCACTCCAGTATTCTTGCCTGGAGAATCCTGTGGACAGAGGAGCCTGGTGGGCTGCTGTCCATAGGGTCACACCGAGTTGGACACGACTGAAGCGACTTAGCATGCATGCATGCATTGGAGAAGGAAATGGCAACCCACTGCAGTGTTCTTGCCTGGAGAATCCCAGGGACGGGGGAGCCTGGTGGGCTGCCGTCTATGGGGTCGCATGGAGTCAGACACAACTGAAGTGACTTAGCAGCAGCAGCAGGATTTTGAGAGTGCCGCCAACCCGGGCTATGGGTGGGCTGCAAGGGGCCGTGAGCAAGTGTGCACTCCTGGCATCAGTGAAGGCCCCCCGCATCCCTGAGCCTTGCTCATCCCCTGCCCCTGTTCCCAAGGCGAGTCCCCCACACCCTCCTTCCCAGCCCCCCCTCCCACTGACCCCACAGCTTCTCCTGCTTCACAAGGAAAATAGAGGCTCTGCCGTTCCCTGGGCTTGAGGCCGCCCCCCGCAACACACACACACAGCGCCCGAGCCTGGGCGGAACCGAGAGCCCTCAGCACCCGCGGCTCCGACCCCCTGGCCCTGCCCTGTCCCTCCTCCTCCCAGTCCCTAAGGCAGCAGCCGACAGGCCAAGAGGGCTCGGGAAACGCTCGGTGTGGACTCAGGCCATGTCTCCTCCCCCTCCAGAGAGACGAGGCCGCCCGGGTGACTCGGCTCCGTCCTCTGGCGAGCACCAGCATCCACCTAGTCGGCCGGGAAAGCCTGGCCGGCGCCCCAGGGCACCCCCAGCCCTGCCCCACCCCCCGCCACTCCCCAGGCGCGTCCGGCTTTCACCCTGTTTCCCACTCACTCATCCCTTTTTCTACGAGCATCGTGGATGCACTGGCCTCTCCCAGGGGCCTAGCTCATGGCCAGCAGGCGCCGGAGGACGTGCGACAGGCATCACCCGACCAAGGATGGGTGTGCCCCAGACCCGCTCCCACAGACCGTGAACCCCCTCAGCGCTCCACGTCCACCAGTGAGCACTGCCCACTGCCCATCACTCCATGCCTCAGGGCTCCTTCCCGCAAGCCTTCTCCCTGCCCTTTGTGAAAAACAGGCAAAATCCAGATGCCATCGAATTCACCATCTTAAAGTGTATGGTGGCTGTTACTGCATTGTTCCCAGAGTCGTACAAGCATCACCACCGTCTAATTCCAGGACACGAGCGCCACCCCTGAAAACCATGCTCCTTAGCAGACCCTCACCTCCACCCCCAGCCCTTGGTACCCTTGTTTCCATCTGCCGTCTGGTAGGCGATCTGTTCAAGTTACCAACTTCTTCTTAGGTTAAGTTTTATCATTTATACTTATTTTGATTTATTTTGTATGTTTAATTTGTATGTTTCTCAGGATGTCACCTCTTTTTCTCCAGGTCAGTTTTATGGCCATCAGGTTGCATGAAACTTCCAGTAAAAAAATATATATTTTTTTAATCTTTTCCAATTTTTTAGTTATAGTCTTTTTCTTGCTTTCAGTTGTGTCTCTCTTACTCTCTGTATCTCTTAATCAGGTTTGTGAGAAATTTATGTGTTTGCTTGGTCTTTTTAAAGAATGTGCTCTGAAAAAAAAAACAACCCAGAATCTGCTCTGAGATTTGCGTATACTTTCTACTCTTCTGATTTCTTTTCTTTATCTTTTTTCTCTATCATTTTCCCCTTCTTATATTCTGGGTTTTTTTTTTTGATTATACATTATTCATGTGATAAATTAATTCCTATATTTTTAGTCTTTCCTCTTCAAGGATGAATGTACCTAAAGCTTATATTTTTCTCAGCTCTGTGTCCCACTGAGATGCTTTCCTTGTCCCCTCTCTTAGATGAGTTATTAATTTCAGTTTTCATTTCCATTTTCCTCTAAGGATGTAGTTGAGTCTAATAGCTTTCCAAAATCCTTCTCCTTTCTATGGTAACAGAGCTCTCCGTTTTCACTGGACACATCCCCACCCAGGATAAAAACTACAGCTCCCAGCCTCCCCTAGGCTAGGCGACCATGTGACTGACTTCTAGCCGATGGGATGTGAGTGGAAGTGATGCAGAATGTTGGGGACCAGGTGGAGGAGGGCAGCCCCTGGGGTGGTGGAGCATCAAGACCACGGTGCCCGCGTTCTCGTGGACTGTCCTGCTGTCTGACCACCACCCAGCCCAGACTGTCAAGTCACTCTTCTGTTGGTTCTCTGCCGTGCAGCTAAATCCATTCTCGACGATAAAGCATAATTTAAAGAGTGTGCCTCTTACTTTCCAAGGAGTAAAGGGTTGCGGTTTGTGGGGGCGGGGGGGGGGGTGTTGTCAAAATTTTATATATTAGTTATAATTTTTCTAGAATATGGCTAGAGAAAATCTCAGCCTTTCGAATTTTTCTAAAGGTTTACTCTGTGACTAAGTACATTATCAATTTTCATTAACAGTCAGCGGCTCTTGAACGTATAATCTCTACGGGAAGCATGAAGTGTTTTGTATACATCTGTTAGATTGTGTTTGCTGATATGTGATCCCATTTCTCTAAAGCGTGGTTTCTTCATTTATCATCTACTAGCTTGGTCTGATTCTGAAATGGTACATTGCAATTCCTGTTGGAATTCATTATGTTCTCATATTTTTAAATACCTTGGTTTTATACAGCTAGCTGCTAAGTTGATTAGTGTAGAATACAGATTTGATTATTTTATCTTGCTCATAAATTGTTCTTTTAATCCTTCAAAATGTCTCTTTCCCATTTAATGTTTTTGATTTTCAGTTCCACCTTCTCTAGACTAAAAATGATGCCCTTGCTCTCCTTTTATCTGCATTTCTTGGCAGCCTTTCAACATCTCTTTATTCTCAAGTATTCTTTACCACTCACTTGAAAGATGCCTCTTTAACAGAATGTAAAAAAAAGAGTATACACACACACGCAGGCGCGTATGATGCTGAATCACTCTTTTGTACATCATTTTAAATCAACTATACTTCAATTAAAAAACTTTTTAAAGAATAAAGGAAATAAAATACATACAGCCTTTTTACAACCCAGATTGGTGGTCTCTGCTCTTTAGCAGGGAACTCAGCCCAGGTACAGTGTTGGTGTCTGCATTTCACGCCTTTCACGTTCTCTGTGCTGTTTCTTTCCCTCGCTGTGGGATCTTTGGCCTTTCCCACTCTCTGCTGCTGTCCACCCCACATCCTTTCTCCCAGTCAGCTTCTGTGAGTGATCTGGGCTCCGCTTCCCACCAGGGGTCACCTTCCTTCTCCTGCCTCCACATCGAACTCCTGGTTCTGCATTAACAGACAAAAGCAAGACCCACCAGTGACCCCCAAGTGCAAGTTCTGCTCCCTTTGGAGCCTCTGCTGGGGCCCCAACGCCATGCAGGAGAGGCAGGACCAGCTCTCATGGCCAGGAGCTACCGAGTTAGCCCTGCGATGACCTACTCGGTTCTCCTTGTTCTCACTGAAATCCCAGGTCCCCATGGAGCCGACATCGGCTTCGGTCTCACAGTGACCACGGCAGTAGGACCCCTGCTTTCAGTCTCCGCTATGTTGGGGCTCTCTGTCTCAAGTGGGTGATGTATTCCCTTGATCCTCCCCAAATCGGGGAGCCTCTTTCTCTGTGACCCATGAATTCTATCTGCAGAGAATGTAAAAGAGGGGCAAATAGCACAGACCTACCCCAAACCCCGGCTGTGTGACTGTGGGTAAGTTACTTAACCTCTCTGGGCCTATAAAACAGGGAAGATTCTGATACTCATCAGTGAGAGGTGATGAATGAAGCTCATACACGTAAAGCAGTTTGAGCAGCACCAGCACAGGGAAAGCTTTCTGTGGGCGTCGCTATTATTCTGATCACTGATTACAAGTATCCATGTCGTGTCATGTCGCAAAGAGTGGGACACGGCTGAGTACAATTACTCACTGTGGGAGAAATATCAAGATTGCTGGGAGAAATGTCAACAACCGCAGGCATGCAGAAGATAACATCCTAGTGGCAGAAAGTGAAGAGAAACTAAAGAGCCTCTTGGTGAAGGTGAAAGAGGAGAGTGAAAAAGCTGGCTTAAAACTCAGCATTCAGAAAATGAAGATCATGGCATTCGGTTCCATCACTTCATGGTAAATAGATGGGGAAACAATGGAAACAGTGACAAACTTTATTTTCTAGGGCTCCAAAATCACCACAGACAGTGACTGCAGCCATGAAATTAAAAGACGCTCACTCCTCAGAAGAAAAGCTATGACCAACCTAGACAAAGTATTAAAAGCATAGACATCATTTTGCTGGCAAAGGTCCATAGAGTCAAAGCTTTAGTTTTTCTAGTAGTCATGTATGGATGTGAGAATTGGACCATAAAGAAGGTTGAGTGCCCAAGAAGTGATGCTTTTGAACTGTGGTGTTGGAGAAGACTCTTGAGAGTCCCTTGGACGGCAAGGAGATCCAACCAGTCCATCCTGAAGATCAGTCCTGGGTGGTCATTGGAAGGACTGATGTTGAAGCTGAAGCTCCTATCTTTCGGCCACGGGATGCAAAGAATTCACTCATTTGAAAAAAGCCCTCCTGCTAGGAAGGATTGAGGGCAGGAGGAGAAGGGGACGACAGGATGAGATGGTTGGATGGCATCACCAACTCAATGGAGATGGGTTTGAGTAAACTCCAGGAGATGGTGAAGGACAGGGAAGCCTGGTCTGCCGTGGTTCATGGGATCACAAAGAGTCAGACACGACTGAGCGACTGAACAGCAACCGTTGGGGTGCAGGAGTGCCAGGCAGGGACACGACTGAGCGACTGAACAGCAACCGTTGGGGTGCAGGAGTGCCAGGCAGGGACACGACTGAGCGACTGAACAGCAACCGCTGGGGTGCAGGAGTGCCAGGCAGGGACACGACTGAGCGACTGAACAGCAACCGTTGGGGTGCAGGAGTGCCAGGCAGGGACACGACTGAGCGACTGAACAGCAACAGTTGGGGTGCAGGAGTGCCAGGCAGGGTCCTTGCCACTTGGCACTCTGTAGACATCGGCCCGCATCTCCTCGTGTCTCAGAGTGACAAACGGGGAGTCCAAGGACAATCTGATGCCTTTTCTTTTTTAAAAATGTATATGACTGCACCATTCTTTTTTAAAAATTTATTTATACGGCTGTGCTGGATCTTAGCTATAGCACGTGGGAACTTCGCTGCCACGTGTGGGGTCTAAGTTGCAGCATTCAGGATATGGCTCCCTGGCCAGGAATTGAACCCAAGCCCCCTGCACTGGGGGCACACCACTGGACCACCAGAGAAGTCCCTGCTTTTTTCTTTGTAAGATTTTTTTTGTCCTCTACGGAAGCTTGCAAGACTTTCACTTTTCCCTGAGAGTTCAGAAACTTCATCTGATTATATCTGGTGTGTTCTCTCCTGCCTTGGACCTCCGAGCTCTCTCAGTCTGCCGTCACGAATCCATCATCAGTTCCATTTTTTTCCCACTACTTGGCTTTCCCCCACTACTTGGCTTTTCCCCTAGTATTTGCACACAGGGCCGCTGGGTCTGTCCTCAACATCTCTTTTCCTGTGGCTTTCTCTTGGTGATATATTTGTCTTTGGCCTTTCCAGACACTGATTCACAACCATTCTCTGCTGGCCCTCAGCTGCATGGCCTCAGGATGAGTAAAAGCTAATAATCTGACCTTGTATCCTTAACAGGTTATTTCCCAGCACAAAAGGAACAGACAAAAAAGGAAAATCTTAAACTGTTCTCTGTCATCACATGGCCAGTGGAGGGGTGGTGCTGTCTGAGGTTAGTGGGTATGCATTTGGAATAAAGCAAAGGATTGATTATAACAAGTACACACTTGATCTCTCCCATCGTTGTGGAAACTCAGGGTTCTCGGAGTAGCACGGGGACCAAGTAATCCTGAACTTGGATTGGAGTCACGCACATGAACCCATCTATGCTTCCCCTACAAAGGAACCCTATTTTCAGCTCTGTCCTCTTCAGGGTCTGGAAGCTGTGATCACCGCCCCCACTGCCCTCCCCGCCCCCCCATCACGGAGAAGAGGGCAGTGAGCAGTTGGGTGCAGAGTTGACATTTTGCAAACACCGTTTCCCACGTTAGAAACCAGGAGACTTGAAAAGATGGGAGGGACCCTGGGTCAGGGCGAGGGCGTGGCCGAGCACTTCCAGGCTCTTTGAAGGACAGAGGAGCCACTGCAGGCTCTCTGCTGTCCGCAGACGGTGTGGCATTGGTCAGGGGCTGGGGTGTCTCTCAGATGTCAGTCTCCCTGCCCTTGTCCTCACCTCCAGTGCATGAAGTGTGAACTGGGTGCCAGGCAGAGCTGTCTCCGCCTCTCAGACCGACCCAGGAGGTGGCCGTGACCAGCGGAGCCAGTGAGAGATGTCAGAAGAGCGGGAATCCTGCACGGGGTCCTGCAGGAAGGACTCAGCTGACACCACCCACACACCACAAGGTCCTGAACTCATCACACAAGCTCTCTGGTGGCACCCGTATCTGTGCAGCAAGGATGGGGTGCCCGGTACACAGTGGGGTCAGATAAACGCTGATCTTCGGGACTGCTGGCACGTGGCTGAACGCGGGGCAGAGGGACTCCAAGAGCCGTGGTGTTTGGCCAGAGCTCCGGATCACCCCCAGGATGCACACACGTGCCTCGCTTGCAAACCGTGAAGCGCTGCACGGGGCCCAGACTGTGTGACGGGAGGAAGCCCGCGCCCCCTCCTACACCTCCCCCCACAGAAATCATCACCGCCTGGCACCGGGAGCATGCCTGTTCCTGTCGGCTTTGGTCCAGGCTGGCAGGAAGTGATCCCACAATGCTGATGGGCAAGGGCAGGGGGGTGGGGGGCAGGACGATATTCAGCTAAAATGAAGCCACTGCTCTGGCAGGATACCAGTCCCCACTTCTGTGTGGGGTCATCCTTGCCCAGGCCAGGGACTAGGGATGCAGAGGGACCTCCAGGAACACAGCCAGGAGCCAGCCTCCTTTTAGGGATTGAATTGGGTCCCCCACCACCACCCCCCACTCCCCGGAATTTATATGTTGGAGTCCTAAGCTCCAGTACCTGTGAACACAATTATATCTGGAGACAGCGGGGATCAAATCAAATGGGGCTCTCAGGGTGGGCCCCCATCCAATAAGACATATAAACAGAGGACATTGGGATAGAGAGACAGACAGGGGTGGAGGGAGCAGGATGAAAAGACCCGGGGTGGGGACAGCTGTCTAGACGCCAAGGACACAGGCCTGGAGCAGAAGGAGCCTGCCGACACCCTGACTCAGACTCCCAGCCTCCAAGACCAGGAGACGAGTGTGCGAGGTCTGCGGGACTTTGCTATGCAGCTCTCGCTGACCAGCACACCCTCTACGGGCCTCCTCTGTCCAGCTTCCTCACTCCCCGTTCGACAGATCCCAGGACGAACAGACGCACCGAACTTCAGTGGTGGATGAAGACAGGGCCCTACGGGGACCTAAGATGCTTTCATCACAGGATGAGGAGGGGGCTGAGGAGGGATCCTCCCTGCTGGAGTCAGGCGCTTCTGAGGGTGACTGCTGGGCAATACTTTTTGCCAGCTCACCTGCCCTGGAGACTATGATCACCCTAGCACCTGCTGGGGGGGTCAGACAATGCCCCGCTCCCCAACCAGGCTCCCCCCCAGCTTTCCCCCACCTCCCACCTGCATCCACATCCTCCCAGACACACAGCCATCAGCCGAAGGACCCAGAGTCTCAGCTCCCAGCCCGGCACCACCCTCTCCATGTGGCCTCGGGGCATCATGTCCCCAGCTGAACCTCGGCTTTCCATCTATGGCGTCGAGGCCCCTCTGGATTCGAGGCCTCCCTTTCTGGGAATGGGCTGAGCACAGAGGGGTTGGCAGGGCCGCCCTGAGATGGCCGCCTGGGGGCCAGCGGCGCCTGTGTCCAGGGCCCCGGAGGTGGGCAGGGCAGGCGGGCCTCTCTCCTCCAGGGGCCACGCCGGGCAGCGCACACAGAGCCTCTCATCGCGGTGGGAGGGGAAGAGGAACACTTTAATGAGACGGAGGCGGCTTCGTGGGACGCCTCTGGAAGACGGGTCGAGAGCGGGAGATGGCGTGGCCCGCGTGTCCAGCAGAGCCTGGAAGCCTAGTACTTGAGCAGCCAGCGAGGCTGGTGCTGGCCCAGCGACGTGAAGTAGGACCACCACCAGGGCTTGCTGCCGCCTGTCGTGGGCTGCCTCCGGGCCCCCAGGGGATCCTGGTCGGGCTCCTGGGGCTCCCCTCCGGGCCAACCCCTCCGGGACCCGGGAAGGAACTTCTGGGGTCCAGTCCTCAGCTGCTGGAGGATGAAGTCCACGCGGCCAGCCCTCTTCATCCGGGCGGGGATGATGACTTTCTTGATGACCTTGGAGTAGCCAGGGGCTTGAGCGATGACGATGTGGGCCCCGGGGGGCAGCAGTCTCCAGTAGTCACCATCTGGGGCTGCAGACACATGGAAGAAGGGCGGCTCTCGGACCTGGGCTCACACAGCCTTGAGACGGGGGGCACTGGGGGTCACAGGGCGTCCGCCTGGAGGGCAGCAGACTCCAAGGGTGCACTCGCCTCTGTGTGGGCCTGGAATGTCCTTCCCACCACCTCCCTCTGTCAAACTCCTATTCATCCCTCAAAGCCCTGCCTAGGCTTCCTCTCTGAAGCCTTCACAGTTCATCCCACTCCACACACCGCCCCCCCCAACACACACAATTAACAAGCCCTCCTTTCTCTGGACTGTTTCCTCTAGGAGCACACATCACAGGGTATTTTTCAAACCAGCTGTGAAATCCCTGAGGGCACCCAGAGCCCACGAGGACACAGAGCTTATCAGTGGGATAGAAGCTCTGGGATATGAACTAACAGGCTCCCTCCACAATGGTGGCATCTGCCCAGAGGTCGCTTCTTGAGGAACGCAGACTCCACATCAACAGTCATTAGCAGTCAGGACCTGCGTGTGTCCCTACCCGCTGGGCATTGAGCTGCAGGAGACATAGCTCGAGGTTGACACGGACCCCCAGGGCCCCCCAGCCCCGCCCTCCCCCCAGGCCAGCAGTGGACGGATGGAGCAGGGGCCCACACTCAGAGCCCCGCAGGAGCCCCCAGGAAATGCTCACCAGTGGTGATGTCGTGGCGGATGCCCTTGACTAAGATCCGGGCGTTCTTGACCGGCTTGCCAAATTTGTCCATCACCATGCCTTTGATGCCCCGGTGTACCTGAGCGGACCAAGGACAGGCTGGGGATATGGTTCGCACCCGCTGAGGGCCCGGCAGCCCGCCCAGCCTGTCTCCAAGGAAACCCTCATCTGTGAAGTGAGGGTGAGCAGTGAGGAGCCCACCGCCGGGGTCCTCCCCCAGTGACAATCAACCCCATTCCGCATGTGTGAACGGCCCACAGTGCCAGCTCAGGGGGGTCCGGCCGATAATGTCGCCTGAGCCCTGAGCGGCAGACCCCTCATGCCCACCTGTGAACACATCTGAGCCTCCTGCCTGGGTAACAATGGCCGGTGTGGCCGGGGTCCCAAAGGCAGCGGGAGGACACGGGCCCGAAGGTTGGGACCCTGGTGTCAGTCCCGGCCAGGCACCAACTGGCTCTCTGACCTCGGGCAAGCTACCTGGGTGTCTCGGCCCCCCTCCCCATCTGTATCAGACGGTTGCTGTGCCCGCCTCGGGCAGTAAGAATTAGTACAGTAAGAATGAGCATGAGCTGCAGGCAGGGCAGCCCCACCCTCTCGGGGGGCTGGTCCTAAGCACGGGCGGTGTTGGAGCAGACCCCCCGCAGCTCATGCACACATTACCATCAGGCCAGGAAGCCACACTTGGCAAAGAAAGCACCTCCCCGATCCTCTGCACAGTTCTCCTAAAACAATGTGCAACGAACAAGCTGAGCACCCTGGCTCTGTCAGCTGGAAACAACCAGAGGTCGACCCTCCTCATGTCAGAGGAGGCCAGGACGCCTGAGTGGGAAGGGCAACTCAGCCTGGGGGGCTGTTCTGTCCCTGAAGGCTGCCCCTCCCTCCTCCAGGGCTGC